AAAAGTAATTTGATCCCAACTTTCTTACAATCCTAGCTGTACTTTGAGCCAGGAGCTTTATTTATAATGGGGCATTTCTAGATTTATTTCAATGAAGAATATGACTGCTTCTTTGACCACTGCCAATTGGTCTTTCTGGGTTGTTTGCTCACCTGTGAACAACTACTTTGGTCGTTGGTGTTCTTCATCACTCAAGACAACACCACCATCTTCTGTTTGAATTGATTCACTGCAAGCCAGACATGTAAACTGGCTTCTGTATATTCTGTATATTCTGCTATAACATAGCTATCCTGGAACATCATAAAGAACGTCTGTGTATTTTATCCACAATTTATATCTACAATACTTACTGATTTGAACATTTTCTGTGAATCTGTCAGTAGATGCTGTAAGTGATGTAGACAATGACTAAACAGCTGCACCTCTTGTTGTTTTACATAACAAACGGCAAAAAATATTCACAATATGGACTGTCTGCACACTGACATTTATTTTACTAACTCTGTATACAATATGCTTCCCTCTAATATGACATTTTATGACGGGGTGTAGACACAAGTCATGAGTTTCCTGAATGTTAAAATGAAATACTATAGATATCATGACTTTCTATAATATTGCATTATATTTTGTTATCTTCTATAGTTTTTTTTACGAAATAAATTATTTTGAGTGTAATGAAATGTTACTTTAAATCATATTTGGTTGAATTTGAACAATTTATTAAATGTGTTCAGTTTATTCGTCCATTTAAAGAGTTTCCTTTAATTATTAATGTGATTATTGTTTTAAAAATCTATGAAACATTTTGAGGGCTCCATATATTACAGGTGAATGTGGACTCTAGCTTGTCTGACTGTCTAACTGAACTACATTTCCCATGAGTCTTCACACCACTGTCCCTGCTTCCTGAATACGAGTGCCCCGCAGATTGTTCAGTGTGTAACAGGAGATGATAAGTAGCCACACAGCTGTCAGTCAACAAGGCTAATTGTGTAGTATGCTAACAGGGATAGCTCGTAAATATCTTAAGGCAGACTAATTGGTGCCCTGTGAGAACTGGTCATGGGCATCAGAGATCAAAACCAAATGGCCTGGACATGTGAGATACTAATTATAAGACAGCATGACTACTATCTGAGTGTCGAGAAATTGTCCAAGTGTTTTGTGCCTTAGTTGCAGTACGTGTTGAGGTTAAACTGTATAGCATGAATATGGTCCCAGCAACCAGCCAGACCTTACGGCTGCTTTCCTGTAAGAGTATATTTAGACTTGGCTTTCCTCTCCTTGTTCTTATCATAGCTCTTAAAATACCTTTCATATCTTCCCCTCCGACAGCAACAATGCCAGCTCTCCCGAGGCATCTGTAGTGGGCCCGCTGCTGGGTATCGGCTTTCACTGTTTCTTTGAGAGCTTTTCTCTCTGTCTAGGTTTTTTATTATTATTCATGACTCGAAACGTTTGCACTCTTCTCACCTTAAAGCCCCGTACACCTGTTTTCTTGCAGCTGGATTACTGAAGCACCATCTTTCTCATGCACTGCATCCAAGTCGAGGCAGTTCAGTTTCTATCTTGAGAATATTCGAAGAAGAACTCCATAAGATGCTGACTCAGTGAAACAGAAAACTTAAAAAACGAGCCTACCATCTGGGGAAATGCTTTTGTCCCAATTGTGGAATTATTTAAAGCCTAGACTGACTGATTTTAAGACAATATGATTATGTCTGATATTGAAATGCTACACAAATGACTGCAAGACGGATCAATCTAAACAGCATTCATTTTTTGGTGTATTTATTTTTGGTGTATTTTCAGAAAGCAAGTTCATTTTTATTTGACTAGATCTTCATCAATTCAAGAGTCAACTCTGGTTCCATCCACACAGAAGAACGTGGTTTGATTACACCTGTACATCCTGACTTTCGCTCCCAATAGTTCCATCCTCTCCGTGGTGCACAACTAAACCAAATTTTTGGAATTTTATTAAATTTGGCCTATACTCACCGTCTTTTTTCATGAATTTCTATGTAAAATTTGGCAGATTTGATGCCCTCAAACCAAAATAGCAGTGTTTTCAAATCAGTAATTTTTAACAAATTCCAAATTCAAGACACATTATTCCGTTAAATAATAATTTTACATGTCAAATGATAGTCTGTTTCCCCCCAAATCTATGTTTTCCCAACAGGCCTGTACACCTTACATTCTAAAAGATATATTGATTTCTATACTGATGACGCTCTTAATGATTTTCAGGCTATGAATCAGTGAATCAGACAATAAAATAATAAAATCAATCTAAAAGTTGTTTTACCTGCAACGTTAATGTCCAACTGGGCGACTCCCATCCGCTGGGTGGACGACTGAAGGTCATATTCAAATTCTTCGGTTCTCCACAATTGCTGCAGTTATCCAGGAGCTTTGTTTTCCAACAAGATCTGTTTTCCAGTAGATTATCTCCAGTGGTTCAAACTCCAAGGGTTTGCTTTTCACAGTTTGGGTTTGTACTTGGACTCCTGTCTAAAATTTGGAATTTGAACTAGTAACAAATCATTTTCAATTAATTATTAAATTGTATGTTGATCTAGTATGATGTTGTACAACAGGGGTCCTTTGTTGACTGAGGAGATCCAGTGAAGAAGATCTAACGATTCCAGTAGATGTTGAACCTCCCAACTTGATTTTCAGGAACCTGGATCTAGATTGCCACTGAAACAACCGGATGAGCTAGCTTTGTGGTAGGGTTGTGCAGGCACCTCGATCGGTACCACCTCGAATATACAATATATTTAGAGAGAGCACTCTCATCACGCTCGAACAGATTAGACTCAACAAAGTTGACTTTGACCAATTTTCCAGACCTTTATCAAGGGTGATGATTCAAGGCTGGCATCCAAATCTTTAATCGTCATGAAGTTGGATTTATACAGCCGAGAAATGAAATTCAACTAATCAACTAAACAGCTGTTTGTTTCTTTTAGTAAATTCCTAAGTCACAAACCCACACTCAGCAAAAGACAGAGAGGCTGTCAAGGGCAGGGTGAGAGGGAGGGACACTGAAGAGGAAGAAGGGGGGGAGAAGGGGCTCACAGAGAGTGCACTGTTAGAGGACAGAAGAGTGTTAACAGCCAGCGTAGGTAGATCACCGGACAATCACTGCAGCTACAAGTCAGAACGGAGAGAAGGAGAGAAACAGATAGATAGGTTCACACGTGCAAGGAGAGAAGCAGAGTACAGCGGGAGAGGGTTGTGGCTGTTTGGGCAACAGGAGCTTTTGAAACCAGGAAGAGGGGCAGCCAAGCCTGAGGAGATGCTGTGAGGAAGACTGCCAAGTGATGGAGCTTGAAGCAGCCAGCAGGCGGGCACAATTAGTCAGGTACAGCAATATGGCATCTTTATTATGATTTATGTCTAATTTTATTCTCTGTAGACTTTGAATAGTTACAAACTTGCTACAGAAATATATACATGAGTACATTTGAGTGTTGCTTTATGAATTATTTGATAAATTAACAGTACAGTTTGTTATACATTTAACAAAAAGACTGTTGCTTAAGGTTAACAGTATTGTGAATCAGGTCCTGCTGTGTTATCTGTGGCGAAACTATTAAATACCCATTGAGGGAATTTATCTCTTTGCTAAGCTGGTATATTTCAGTTGTATTTCCCCGCAACTGTTGAGCCTCCTGTAGCCCAACTTAACTGTGTAAAGTCATATGAAATGTGCTGTGTACAAAAATCCAGTATCCTCATAGGACAATCTTCTCAGGCCGTTAAATTAGTAGTTGTGACAGTGCCTTATGCCACTACTTTACTTACATAAGGTCAAACTGATAGTGATGATTTTTTTGGCATTAAAAGACATGAGAATGTAGGAGACATGCAAATATTTGTGTTGATGGAGAGGGAGGATATTTTATTCAACATGCTCTGTGACCAACTTCACATGATGCTCCAGAGTCCTTGGGCACCACAAAGCGCACTCTGTGTGGTACACAGACCCACCATTTGTCCTCCCCTCCATCCCTCTTTAGCATTTTAAGTCTTCTCTCCAAGCAAGTGACCCCCACTGACTGAGGAGGAGATTTTCCAAATATTTCACAACACCCACGTAACCTCCATCGGCTATGAGGTTGTTGGTCTCTGCTCTCATCTCTTACAAAGACTTGATTGTTTTCTCTCGTTTACTCCGTGTCTCGCTTGTAGAGGATCGTGGTTTACGACGACATAGACTGCGGCAGCTAAACCATTTCAAACCTCTGGGTCACGCACGAGTGCTTGTGAGATGTTTCTCATGAATTTCTATCTTCAAGTTCATCTGTAGTGCTGTCTTATGAGGGTCAACAATAACTCTACAGTTAACATAAGCTGTAAAGCTTTGCTAAGACAGCTACAGCAGGTGTAACTTACAGGAACTGAGAATCAGTTTTAATATCTAAATAAGGATACTTTTCAGTAAAAAGTGACTGTAAATTAAGTGATTACGTTATTACATTATACATATATGCATACATACGTCTAACTGCAAATACAGCAGATGCAAACACACAAAGTAGTTTAGCATACAAATTTGTTGGTAACAATTCTACGTCTGATAACACACAAATAGAAATTAAAGAAATATCACGTAAATACATAAAGCAATTATTTTTTCATGACATAGAAATATAAGAAAAATTAAAATTAAAATGCTAGAACAATTTATATTTTATAAGTATATTTGTATTTGTATTTACATTTATAAAAATATAATGAGAAAGTATTAGAGAAATCAACTCTGTTGAAATTCGTAGATTATATAATACGAGAAGTAATTGATGACATAAAAATAAGGAATTTAAGAGGATAGACATATTGCATTATTAGGAAAGCAAAGCAATATATAATTGTATGTATATATATATATATGTATATGTATATGTATATGTATATATATGTGTATATGTATATGTATATGTATATATATATATATGTATATATATGTATATTGCATAAACTGAAAGTTGAAAGACATAAATGTGAGTTATAATTGAGTAACAGAGCACACATGAAACAAGAACAAAGTTGATTGTATAAAAGAGGAGTGCTGGGTATTTTAGTAGGTGTTCAGGTGCAAGAAAACATGCTATCATATGACCTGAGGTACATAAAGAAGATGGCATGACTCTACAGAAGCACACAAACTAGTAACACAGTGAACCCCACGCAACGCATTTGTCTTCAACAGGCCATTTTACTTTCCCCGCTCCACGCGCTTTTATCTTGGTTTTCTTTCTTCAGCAGTCCACGCTGCAGTTCTGTAGTTCGGGACACATTCCAAATGTCGCCTCTCATACCAGGCCGTCCCTGCTGCCAGATTGGTTTTCACACAGTCCCGGGGCCCCTCCCTGCTACCACGGCGATGCAGCTGTCACCTGTCAGTTTCGTGGTGGGGATGCGCGTCGGCCTGTTGTGGCTCAGAATAGAATTGTGGGAGAGTTTTCATTGGAAGTGGGGAGAGCACAACACCAAGCCTCCGAGCGGATGAACAGTTGACTGGGGGAAAAAAATCTCAACTGTATGGGAATGTGGCATTTGTGTGCTCGGATGTTACATGGTGCTGTTCATGGAAGTGACTGACTGCTTCTACAGAGAGAGACTCTGTTTCAGATTGTATTGGTAAGGCCTAGCGTCTTAGCCTCACTCAGAGCAACCAGTTCATTCATATGTGTAGAGCGTGAGGTATGAGTCTTGTTCAGTACTGGTCACATACCGTGTATGGCATTAGGGAAGCCAAGTGTTTGTTCAGAGGTTGTGGTAAATTATAACTTTACATGTGTAGATATTTGTATTATGTGTTTTATTTACTTTATTGAGCTGTAATTAAAAAAGTCCAGTCCAATTGAGATATTTGGTGTACTTTGCTGTGTGTGCGTGTGTGTATGTGCCATAATTGTGTGTTCTACTATGGAAATACTGTATGACCTTGAATGAAGGAATACTTTCTTATAAACGTATGTATATATATATATATATATATATATATATATATGAAATACCCTGGTTAAAGTTCACCTTCGCCTTTAGTTTGGGTGTAAACACTGACATTTCGTATGTGACATTTGCATCCAGCTCACGTCTCACAAAGGTTTATGACTGGGATCCTCTTGTAATTACCTCATCCTTCTTTCCAGTCTATCTGGCTGTTTTCAGCTATATTTGAATATTTGTGTTTCCACTGCAGAATGGATGACCAGGACAGAGTAAGCCAAACATCCAGTGTGGCCACCATTTCCTACTTTCCTGTCATAAAGGTTTGTTTTAAGTTCGATTTTTCTATCTTGCACATGTGGACGACTTACTGCGATACAGTTAATGCATACTAATGTGCCATTCCCTCTTCGGGTAACAGGAAAGTGATGGAAAGGTGCAAACATTTGGGAAAAGATGTCTGGCTGCCAAGAGAGACCCCAATTGTCCTGTAGTCATCAGAGGATGGCTCAACAAAAAAGTAATTTTTCAAACATGGTCTGCTTAACAATTAATAACTTTTACTAATAACATTTCATGTAGAAGATTGACTGAGTAAAGCAAAGAGCAGCTCCTAATGGATCTCCCCTCTGCAGGACAGTTCTGGTTTGAAGCTTTGGAAGAGAAGGTGGTTTGTCCTCTCCAACTTCTGTCTGTTTTACTATAAAGGTACACAGCTTTTATCCCAGCAGTTTTTCTCGAGTGAAACCCTTTCATGTGCTCTGACTGTAGAACAATGCTTCTCTTCTTCTGTTCATTCATTTTCTGTCCCCCCGCCAGACAGTAGAGAAGAATCTGTGCTGGGCAGCATCCCACTCCCGAGCTACAGAATCCTGTTCTGCACACCACGAGAATGCAAGAACAGAAAGTTCACCTTCAAGGTATCATCATTTGGTTACTCGTCCAATCCATAAATGCATTGTTGACATTGGATTTTACAGGAATTGTTTTTACTCCACTGAACAAACCAAAGGGGAGACATGTACTGGTCAATTTAGAGTTTTGTGCTATTTTGCTTCCGTAACATCTTCTTTCAGACTAGCGGAAAGAAAACATAGAAAATACACATTTAGGTTTTCATTTTACTACACTTTGTCAACTTGCTTCTGTAAGTTTCTTTATTTATTTTTGTAAAACTAGGTGGTGCACCAGGGAATGCGCTCTTATTTCTTCAGTGCTGACACTCAGGAGGACATGTTGGGTTGGGTCCGAGCCCTCAGTCAGTCTGCTGCAATGGAGCCAAACTGCTCCCTGAACAGGTACAGCACATTCACTGTGGACATGAAGGTGTTATGCTGTAAATATCAAACATTTTTCATGATTGAGCTTTTATTTTCTGCATCTCTTATAAATTCAGGCGTTGCTCGAGTTATCAGGATTTCATACAGATAGGTGGCAGCAGTGAGTCAGTGGACTTCCCTAAAACCCCCTCTGATGGAGAGGGTCCCTCCCAAAGACACATACACGTCAGCAGGACTCTGAGCGAACCGAATCATTACACTGGCGGGAGGACTGAAACTTCGCGCTCAGATCCGAGGGGGAGGCGGAGTGTGCGTCACAGAAACAGCAGGTTGTCAAAGCATCTCTGAGTGTGAATGGCGCATATTTAAATCCCAGTGGTTTACTTGAAGAGAAAATCATCACCAGAAAAGTCCCAGCTTTTACATTTCTGTTCTGTTCTCTGTTTTCTCTTCAAACAGAACACCCAGCCCTCTTGATTTTAGCAGAAGAAGAGCTTTTGGTCCACACCAAGAGGAAGGCTCTCTGCCTGGCCGTAACACACCACCCATGCAGACAGAAATGATGGGAACGGGTTCTTTGACCTCAAGAGGTCACCTGGGGTCACGACCTCACACACCAGTGGGAAGGGTAGACATTCGACCTCACGATGACTCGGACATGGTGCCACAAACCCTGTACTACGCACCTGCCTCACCTAAGCTGGAGTTCAAATCCACCCCAAATACTCCAGTCACGGAGAGGCGGCAAAACCTATGCAAGGTGTGTTTGGTTGATCTTGATCATAGGATGTACTCCGATAGCCCTGATATGTTATCAGGGTTCATTTTTATTATAATGTGTCTCTTGTGGGCTCCAAAACTTTGTCGAAGTGCAATACTTAATTGCCGCACAAGATTTTGTATCACCAAACATCTCATGTCACTCAAACCTAATCTTTTTGATTGTTCACAGCCTACACCTACCTATGGGTCTGTCCATCATATATCGAGTGGGAAACGACATTTAGGAAAGGTGATTATAGTACAAACAATATATTTATGGCAAACATCCAAACTAGTGTTCAGCAGTGTAAAGTAGCGTTGTAGGTTGTGTGTAACGCCATGTGTGCTCTGTTCTTACATACGGCCTCTTCCTTCAGGGCTTCTCCACAGGGGCACATGCAGATTTACTGCCCCCTTTGCCCCCATCAGCGAGAGCTGCACATGCTCCCCAACACCCACACCACCACCATCACCATCATCATCACCATCACCGCAGCAATGTATCTGTTTGTGTGCTACCGCCAGCCATGGTACAGCCCTCGTTGCTGCGCTCTGTGTTCCTATGGTGTCCTGTGTGGTTCAACTTTAAACCTGCGATGTGTTGTTTGTATGTCTCCTCGAAAATGTTGTGGTGTTATGTTCTATGTATCTAACCATGGGGACTCATTTTGATATCAATGTGAGCAACAGGGTTTTTGTAGACCTTGTAATATAGTATGTGTAAAGAATGTCACTGACTTGTTTCATGTCCATGTCGTTGTGCTTTATTGTCAGTTTTTATTTGTGACTAATAAATCCTATAGTGCTCATTGTTTACTTCTAGTTATATATTTGTGTTTTGTCTAATTTTGATGAGTTCTGCCATGATTATGCTACATGAAATGTTATATGTTGTTTGATATGAAACGGATATTTGGCAGAGGGCTGAAGCTTGTGCTGTGCCTATTTGAATGACAACAGCTCAGTCTAATATTGAAGCATTGCAGCATTAACCCACATTCACCAACTGTAGTCAGCACAATGGATTACAGAAAAAAAACATTCAAAAATGATCTCATTAAAATTGTATTTACAATCACACTTTGATAAATGGTGAACAGGAAGAAGCAACATCAAAACAGCACTATTTAACAAAATGATAACCTTGATGCATTTCAGGCACCAAAGCCTGACCTGAGGGAAGCCCCGCCAATCAGGCCTCTTGAAAGCGATGCAGACGTGAGTATTTATAATGTTGCCATATGGCTCTTAACTGTCACCAATGCGGTGCAGTTACTCATCATCTTATAAGATGTTTCTGTCTGAGTTTTTATTTTTGTTTTCCCTCTTCAGGTTGTGTTGACGAGGTTATGTGGGTGTGACAAGTTGCTCCAGACTCTTTCTGTGGAACTGGCCCAGCTACAAATGGATAAGGTGGGTAATAATAAGATTACTCATTTAAGGCTATTTAGAATAATTAATAGCAAACAATATATTGTGACTGGTTTGAGAATAAAAATAAAAGCTTTTTTTTTCCTGTTTGCAGGACAGCGTCCAGTGTGCATTAGAGGTGTCCAGACTTCAGCTGGAGGAGTGGAAAAGCCTGGGGCCCAGGGCCCAGGAAGAAGCCCTGACCCAGAAGGCTTTGCTCCAGGAAGAGCTGGTCACAATCCGGGCTAGAATGTGTGATGTATCGTTGGTGTGTAATTAGCACGGGGGACATGGAACCAGAATGAAATAAACAATGGGATTGCATGTGTAGTTTATTACTATATCATTGATCATTCAAAAGGGATGCGACGTACTCATAAACTGTCAATTATACTGTTGATATACTTTCTTCACATTCGTTCTTTTCACAAATCTTCTGATCTTTTGATTCAGGAAATGGAGCGGGTGTGGAGTCAATATGAGAGGATGGAGAGTGAACTGTCGGTTATCCGTTCACACCTTCAGCACATCTGTAACTTTGGAGTACCACAGGTATTTGAAAACTACAAACTGGAGTGTGTGATGTGTGTTTTTTTATATATATTATTTTAGCCACTGACCTCAAAGGGACAACAATTCTACAAATCATTGAGGCTCATGCCTGAAGATACTTCATGAGTAATATCTTTGATTTCTTTCTTTTTGTCAGGACCAGTCTCAGGCCCAGAGAGAGCTTTGGATGATGGAGGACATCCTAGCTGGACTAAAGATCAACAGGGATCACTTCCGCTTCTTGCTGGGACTACAGAGGCACCAGAGTAAGCATCACCTTTCTCTCACTGTCATGCTGAATAGTTTAGACTGCATAATTATTATGTGCAATAGAAATAAGGTGCCGTTTCAATGTTTTGTGGTGGTGGGTTTGATTGTGAAGTCTTGAAAGCTTAACTAATTACTTCTTGCTTAGGCCGCCAATAAGCAAAGTAGCCTGGTTCATGTTGATCATGCACAACCTGACGATTGATGAAGAGTGTCAACAGCTTGACCTTTTCTGTCTCCCCCTCAGCGTTCCAGCCGACATCTCCACATCCTGGATCCCCTGGATCTCCCACTGAGAGAATGCAGAGTGGACTCCCAATGGTACAGTACGACTCCTGTCCATTGATTTGTCAGTGACGTTTGCTCTCTGCTTATGAACAAATGTGGAATTGTTGTCCGCTCAATGCAAAGGTTAAGGTTAATCCATCTGCTGGCATCTGCTGAGATCTTTCAGTCCTACGGGTGTTTTCTTACAGTATTGCCACAGCGTTTGATTTTTCTTTCACAAAATTGCTTTAAATTCTACAACATATAGATCAAATTACTGTTAATTTATTTGTGATGTGATGGCTTTATGTGATCTGGTCTTCTTTTTGTAGTTTGGCATGATCGTAGCTCAGTGAATATATACCATAGTGGATCAACAGAACAGCAGGATTTGCAAGCCTAGAATTGTCAATTTTCTCCCTTTATCCAGATATTATTAGTGACTCTTAAAATATAGTGTGACGGTTGGGATGACAAGGTTTGTTTTCTATCATGTCAAGGACTGATTCAACATCTCTACATTATGTTGAGGCATGCATCAATCTTTATCAATCTGGTATGGATGCAGTGAGATCTTCTTTCATATCACTTGTGACAATGACCCCTGCAGGATGCGGAACAAGAGCCACCACTCCGCCCACCATTACCGCAGGAGCTACAGGAAAGCTTCCACAGCAGGGATCAGGGCCACACTGTTGATCCTGTACAGAGAAAAGGAAACAGCCAGCCTGACCTGCTTAGTGTGAAAGCACCAAAAGACACATTCGGTTGGTGCAGATATACAAATAGAGTACATGGAAAGAGTAATATTAATACAATACAACACATTTTCAGACATATCTAGTATTAAAGAGCTTTAATAGGTGTTTTATGCAAAAGGATCTTTTTTTATGTTCACTCTCTCCTCCCACTTATCCTCTCTCACTCCCTCTGTCCTTCTCCTCTTTCCTCTATTTTCATTTCATCTTTAGAATCTGGTTCAAAGTGGATCCCACCAGATACAATGAATCAATCAACCAAGGTTTGATTCTTCATAGTTTCGTACTTGCTGGTCAAAACTATATCTGGATGTATGCATGTGATCCAAAATGCTCCAAATATAGAAGCAGTCAAAGCAGATTTTTTCCTCGTTGCAATCACAGCCAAATTCCAATTCTTTGATTTCTCTCATCTTCCTTGCAATTAGGGCATGTTGCAGTGCCTGTTGTAGGCGAGAGGGGGAGGCAGAGTCACATGTCTCAGTGCCATTAGCTCAGTCTTCTCATGTTTGCCACCCAACCTCCTTTCTCACATGTTCACAATCACACACACACAAACACATACTGTACATGTAGATACAGATGCATATGAACATACGGTATGCACACATACACCTCTGCACAAACTGTAGTAACAGTGTTTTTGATATTCAAATACATGGATTCTGGTTCTTGCGTTACCTTTTCTAAATGCATATTGCTGTGGCGTGGGGTTCATAAATGGCTTATTCTATATATTTTCTAGAAGCTGAAGATGAGTGAAGAAGAGCAGATTGAGCGGATGAAGAGGAATCAGGAGAGGTTAACTAATAAAAAGAAACCCCCCATACCCACTCCAGGTCAAAGTTCAGAGACAAGAGAGGAGGTCTGCCAAATCATTAATCAGTATAACTGACTGAATCAGGACAATATATGCCAATATACATTTACTGATCTTATCTTGGTATTTCCTCAGGCCCCGTTTCCTCTAAGAGTGACACGAGTTGTTACAGCTGTACTGCCATCCTCTATTGTGGCCAGACGAGTTTCTGTTGAGGCCCCCCCGCCTGAACTCGACAACCCATTGTCCGAGCAGATATCACCTGAGATGCACCAAAGATTGTCAGGGCAAAAGGTGTTGAACAAGCAACCCTGGGGTCTGTTGCTGGAAGGTCCTGATCAAAACCAGTCCTCAGCAGAGATGCACCAGGATGAGCCTTTTATAAGGACAAACAGGCAGCAGCACCACGGAATATTGAGGACTTCCAAGAAGGAGAAACGTTCAGAAGCGAACAGAGCCGAGCCAACAGAGACCTCGAGGAATCAAGTTCAAGACCAAGCAGGTGTAGGACATGGGAGTGAGAGCTTGGACGTCAGGGTAAGAAAGATTGAAATACATTTAAAAGGAATCAAAGACTAGTATAAGCACAGCATATTTGGAAAGATGATACCATACCATGCATTTTCTAGTCCATTAGTTGATATAATGTCATCTCATTCTAACACAACCCTTGCTATGCCTTCGCGTTGGTGACAGCCGTATTCAGGTTTGTACGTCCCATCCCATTCTTGTGAATGGAATATCTCAGGAAGGCCTGGAGGAAAATTCTTTTGCACAAATGTCCACTTGGACTCAAGAATTAACTGATTACATTTTGGTTGATAAAGGTCAATGTAACCTCATTGCACATAACTCAAAAATTAATTTGCTAATTTTGACAATTTCACACAAACTTGAATGGTTGGCGGAGGCATTCAACCGTGAGGCGGTAGTTCTAGTGTTTTGTTGACATGGTAACGTATGTTGTTATTCACAGGACATCAAGGACATCTACAGTATATTATCCAACTTAGTGAAGTTACTTACAGTATGTTTGCATCAATCAGAGCACAGGCAGGGTTTAACTGCTTGTACAGTCTAATGAACAAACTACTACAAAACTCAAAGACTTAACTCGTGATTTCGTGTTTAACCATGTTTTACACCTGTGGTCTCTGACAGCCCACACAGAAGTGAAGAAGTGACATCTGAAATCAGTCAGTTCAAAATCATGTTCATAAGTAATTCTATAATACATTTAGGAAAAGTATCAAGCTAATAGAGCAATGTTAATTTTGTTTTTTGAGGTGTTTTAGAGGGCCTTATGTGCATTTTAATGTGACTCTGCTTGAACAGGCAGATGAACGGCAATCTGCCCTCCTGACCCCTGACATGGACCCTAACCTCTGTCTGACCCCTGAGCAGCGAGAGGCCAAACTTCGTCGTGTGGAACGAATACGGGAGAGAGTCATAAGAAGGTAAGAAATTGTTTTGTAATTGCTATATTTAAATATATGCACATGCACTTTACATATACAGTATGACCGCCTCCATAAATTGGTTCTTCTACCTGTCTGTCTATCAGTGCAGTCAGACAAAGAGCTACTACACTCGATCAACTACCAATCAGGGGGGAGGGGCCGGACGTTCATCAGGTGCCCCCTGACACAGCTAGAAAACAAAGGATGAAATCAGGTACATATTCACTAACACAAGATCAAGAAGTAAATGATTGCAAGTAAATTAAATTTGGTAAACACAACTATTACAAAGCTGCTTCATCAGTAGCACACTTCCTATGCTCTAACTTACTGGCAAATTGTGGTACGTTCCTGTTTTCAGACCATCAATTCTATGGAAGCTGTGATCACATCAGAGCTGCAGAACTTCAGCTTTGTAGTGGAACATCTCAGGATGAACATGAAAGAGACCGCCATCTGAAAAAATCTAAAAGTCAAGTCAAATTTGGGGACAAAACACAACACAAAGATCACAGTGTAAGAACAGGGGTTGCCAAAAATAAAATAAAACGTCCAGCTTCACCCTATCACATCTCCTCTATGACTATCTATCAGAAAGATGGAGGCAAGGGATTTACAAGTCGCAAGGATGTAGAGGAGCAAAAGCTTGAAGAACCTGCCACTGATGACAATGAAAGTGATTTTTCTTCCTCCGATCTGAGAGCCAAGTGGTTCCTCTCCACCAACCAGTGGCAAGGGTTCGTACCTTTGCAGATCCCTGGCATAGACTCGTGCCATGAGGAGGTATCAGACATCGAGAACCAACCAGCATGCACCGACGACGTGACTGATTCCAATGAAATGTCATCCGCAGTCAGCGAAAGCTTAGAGAAAATGAAAGAGAACCATTCCCTCTTCTATAAGATTACATGTGACATTACTATTTCAGACACAGATATTACAACGAATGATGGAAATTCAAATGCCCAAACGTCATGCAGGCCAGATGAAGAAGACCTGCATATCACTGAATCTGTGACGGATGAAGCAACCCATAATGTTGGGAGATCTGCTAACCAAGAGAGCAAGGATTCTAGCCTGCATTTGCCATCAGACTTTAATGAAAATATTCACTCAATTAATAATGTACTCAAGGATTCAACCAAGGACAAAGCAGTGTTAAATACCTCAGCCAGTCCCACAAAGGAGGCGTGTGTTCATAAATATGTCCCTCAAAAAGAATGTGAAGACACCTCAAGGCAAGACAGACAGTTGGAAGTTAGAGAAACTGTCCAAGGAGCGTCTGTTCAGGACAATGCCTCTGATCAGGCCCTGGATGATGAATATGTAAAGTCAAGAGAAGAACAACGTTTGGCGAAGGTGTCAGAGGACGGGAAGGTGGACCAAGAGAGCGCTGAAGAGCCGAGGAAATGTCGTAGTTTCAGTGAGGGGAACAAAGAGACAGCCCAAGAAGGAGGCAACAACCACTCCATCGCTCCATCCAGCTCTCTTTATGAGGGCGTAAGTGTGACTCGGAGTTCCTCTTTTGGGAAGGCACGAGTTACAGTACTAAGGACAAGTTTGTAGAGGCAAGAACAGCGAAGGCTTAACGAGCTTAAATGATTGAACTTGGAAAGGACAAGAACACAGTTAAGTGATTTTTTTGGTAACGGAAAAGGACTGAAGAAGAGGACTTTAAGTGATTGAAGGAATCTGCACATAATTTTGGATTATAAATGGTAAAATGGGAACATACAATGTCAGAAATAGTCCTATGATTTGGTAAACTTGAACATTTCCATTATTCATCATACTAGGTTTGAAACAGATTATAGTTATAATAGAAAGTCTTACAAATATTTCATGAAAACAAAAGCTATGTATTAAAATATTGGTCTTGCAGGTTGTTGTTTTTTGGTGATAAACACCAAATACCTTATGTCCAGTCGAAAACATGCCCAGTGTTATTTCATTCCTCTCAAAACATACATCTAACACGACACAGAAATTATAGATGATCGCTGCTTGTGGATTGCAACATAACCCTGTTATTGTCACTGTAACAAAATGTGTTTTGTATCTCAAATATCCTGATTAATAAACATGCAGTGTGCTACATCGGGACACCGACTCTTGCTTTGTATGTGCAAGAAACTCTCATTTCATGTATTCTTTTTTTTTCGGTCAATGAAAGCCTCACCACCACCCCCATCCCTAAATGCTTAGGTGCTGCTCTCTGACAAACCCCGATGCAGAATTAAACAGAGACAGTAAAAATGCCTTTGTCACTTTAAATCCTTGCCGTGTCTCAGTCGATGACATCATTGTCTGAGAACACATTACATCACCCCTTCCCAGGCTCTCGCTCTCTTAAAGACAGCACCACCTTATGTTTACTGGGCTACACATATGCACATATACACAGAGAGGGAGAGAGAGAGAGAGAGAGAGAGAGAGAGAGAGAGAGAGAGAGAGAGTGAGAGACCCGCTTATCTGTTTACAAATGCAATATCAATATCAACATGCATATTAATTCAGAACAGCAACCATAGATGTGGCCAATTCCACAAATGTATTCAAGAGCTACAAGTTGGCGTTTAGATGTAATAAAATTCACTTTAAACATAATCCTGCTATGATTGAATACTTTCCTACCACAGACAGTGAAGGCATTCCTGATAACATTTTAAATAAGAGCTTGTGTATTTTTTTTAGATGCAGTATTCATATCTCAAGCTGCATGCAGCAGAATTGGGACATGTTCCCCAAAATAGGTTATTTATGAAAACGGCTTCCATAAAATCATTGCTGATAAAGTTGAAGTGATTATTGATGCTAATAATATGCAATGTTTGAAAAGATAATGCATTTTTGTATCAGAATATTGGACATTATTACTAATACCCACATGAGGTTCTTCTCATGGACAGAAGTTGGGCCTGCAATCATCGCCCCACACACATTAGCTTTCTATTGCAGGAACACATCGCAGATATAGCACCGCTTTATGATTTACTAAATGATTTGAATGCATGTTGTTTATCACAAAGTGTATTTATCAAATGAGTGACTTTTGGCTCAAGGTACAGATAGAAAATTGTATATTATAAAAAAAATTAAAATATTTGTGCAGGTGAAATGTCTGTCTGTCAGTTGGTTGGTCTTTGATACACATACACGCTGTATAATTAATCAGGTGCTTGATTGGCCTGCAAGTGCGCGTGAGTGCGTGGCTCGCGCGTAAATCACAGAGATGCGGAGAATGCTGAGAGAATGTTTCTTTAAGACCCATTACCTTCCAATCCGACAGAGGGGGAGTCTGTGGTAAGGTGGCGTATCGTCTCTCTCCGCGTCCCCCCCCCCCCCCCCCCCCCCCCCCCCCCCTCCTCGCCGTTTACATGTGGAAAAAGAGAGACAGAAAGAAGAAAAAAAAACATATTTTCGCCGGTTTCGGATGAGGGGCACGGACACCATCACGATCCGTGGTGATGGACCTAAGGAATATTTAACGTCAAACATGGACACAGACTCCCCGCGATGACTGTGGTAAGGATGCAACTTCACACCGCCCCATCGCAACCCAGTTTCCACTGAGAGGGAAATAATATCCATCGGAGGACGCGGAAGAAATACTAATGTAATAATACATGCAAGAGTGCGCGTGCATGTGTGTGATAACGAGAACCTAACGTTGTGTTGTGAAGGATTGAAGGTGGTGGTGGTTTATGTGTGCATGTGTGTGTGTGTGTGTGTGCATGTGTGTGTGTGTGCGTGTATGTGTGTGTGTAAGGAGAGCGAGGGGGGTGCGATTTTGAACAGAGGCAAATTGGCTTATATTAGATAGAGTATGCAACGCTCGGTGCCTATGGCAGTGTCAGGCATTGACAGGTGTGATGGCAGTACACGGCACGATTTATTTAGGGCGCGCTTGCTCACTCCCGTTTGCATACAGTTTGGTGAGGTGATAGCTGTGGAGGGAGGGAGAGACCGATGATAAGATGCCTCTGTATATTGGCCTTCTATGTGTTGCTTGTAATTAATCACGGCTGTAACTAAGCCCTTAGCCGTTAGGAGCTTTGTAGTCAAACCTCCCAGCTCGGCAATACTGTCACTGGGCCTATGGAGTTGCTTATAATTCTATAATGTCTGGACAAGGCAGGCCCAGCAGTGAAAATGTGCGGTGTGCATTTTGGGCCATCTTCCTGACGTGATGCCTTCCACAGTCACAGTCGATCTCTAAAGAAGAGACATCATCTTCCTGGTGTTTGCTTCAATGCATTGTAACACAAGAAGAGCCAATTCAGAACCCCCCCCCCCCCCCCCCCCCCAATACACAACCACGAAGCTTTTTCTTTTTTTTTTTACTAGAATAATGTATATCTGCTCGTGCGCGCTCTTGCTCCTATCATCGAATGGTCTTTCCTCCATACATCCAGAAATGGAGGTATAGCCACAGACCTGTCATCTGGAGAGGCTCATTTCCCCATTAGCCCAGTATGCCGGGTGGATGCCAGCGCAAATAAAAGCGCGTTAGTCCGGATCCTGGTGCTTCTATTCCCCCCTCTACCCAGCTGCCGACAATCACTTATCGATTCCAATGATGCGTTTCTTGGCCAGGGGGTACTGTTTCATGGTATTAGGAGCGAGAGAGAGAGAGAGGGGGGGGGGGGCGTACATTATTATACGCTATATGCTTTGCTGTTATTGAAATGCAAAGTGCGTTATGCATCCGGCATGCGTGCATTCTTTCGCTGTAAAGGCGATTGACCATGTTGTCAAACCGGATGTAAAAACCGATCTCAGAAACCCTTTTTCTTTAGTTCCATTTGTCGGCGGTTGTGGGAGCCTGCAAACCCCTCTCCCCGCCCCAGTGTCTGGTGGAGGAGAGCGGTGTTACTGCTCTCTCTCTCGCTCTCTCTCTCTCTCTCTCTCTCTCTCTCTCTCTCTCTCTCTCTCTCACTCACAAACACACACAAGGCGATGGCATTTTCCATTTACTTACTTTTTTTTCGGAGGCAGGGATTTTTTTTTAGTTACACGATACACAGCCTAATTGGTGCCTTGTCGTAATTGGTCATGTAGCAACCACAAACTATAAAGCCAGTCTGTCCACTCCAGGTTAGGTGGCTACAAGCAGGATTCAATGTGGCCGTGTATGATGATTATGGTGATGATGATGATGACGGTGGTGATGATGATGATGATGTGGGCAATCATAATATGAAAACACCCACATGTGCACACACACACACAGACACTAACACACGTACTCAATCGATTTCAGTGTGTTAACACTGTGACATAAGCTCCCCCATTACACCAATGAATCTAATGCAGCTGCTTGATAATGTAGCTGCACTGTAGCTCTACATTATAGAAACATGTTATCACTGGCTCATTGTTTTCAAGCTGCCTCTCTGCCAGTCCCCATGCTCACTCCACTGATTGCTATGGCAGCAAGAAGGGCAACCATTCAAAGAAAAGGTCTCAACAATGCTCATAGAGCTGTAATGTTATGGCATAACAAGTCTACAGTGTCATTGTGATGCACCAGACATTGTTGCACGCTCTCTTGTTTTCTAGTTGCCTCTCTCACCCTTCCACACACACGCACGCACGCACACACACACACGCACACACACACACACACACACACACATAAATACACAGGTCCTGAAGCCCAGTGACCCCTCAGCTGACGCTTCAGTCAAAACTGCAGGCTGCACAGTTATGCTTACTGAATCAGGACTCCAGCAATGAATGCTTTTGTGTTCTTTCAGCACGGACTCATCATGTGACACAGTAGGAACAGAGTGAACTATTACTGTACAATACTGTATACACAGTAGTCTGCAGTAATTACATTACACTGTTCTCCGTTGCCCCTGCAGAGCTAATAGAGCGGCTGGTAATGACGAGTATCCCGAGATAAGTGGTTGAATGTTTTATCTTACAGGACTAAGAGTATTTCAGGTGTTTCAAGGTCTTGAAACAAATGAACTTCAGGATGATATTTGGAGTTTTTTGGATCACAATGTAGCAATCAGAAGCTGTCTTAAACTGTTAACGAAGCGCAGTCGGTATTGCATCAGTTATTATCCATCAGTGGAGGTGGAAAGGAAGGAAGTTGTTTTTTTCGTGATACATACAGTGAGGTTGCCAAGTACGCTAGCCAGCTCACCAGCATGAGGAGCTAATTTAGTGCTGTATCAGGCCTCCAATTACCAGCAAGCAGTCCCCATCTTTAGTTCTGGACGTCCGTATAATAATAAGACAACTGGCAATACTTGTTTTCAGTGTTGTTGAGGCCTGTTTGCTAAATACGTTTTATTCACAAAATGGATGATTTTTGGTTGACAAAGAAATTCTTCATCACTCTGCCCAGTCTCACTGACATACAGAAGCCTGCATGGGGCACTAAATCAGTCCAAACCACTTAAAAGTATAAAGGCCAGTGCAAGCCCCTGAGTATTGTAGACTAGACAGTGAAGAATATGGTAGGAAAGGAGAGAGGGCCATGAGGCGCTATAATAATGCTGATTGCCTGAATCCATACCATTTTGGCCAGAGTTTGCAGTTTGAGACAGAGACCTTATCCAGTTAAAAAGGCAATTTAAAAAAAGCAGACAATTTATAACAAAACTGATTGAAGGAGGCTTGATGAAGTGAAATCACAAAGTTGAATCTCAATGACATATTTAGTTTGTAAGAAAAACTGAGAATGAGAAGAAATGTAACATGTTAGCTTTGCTTAAATCATCAAGATGATCTTTTCAACACCTTCAGCAGTGCGGAAGTCAACACTGATCTCACCAAGATCATAGTGACTGATACCTGAAAGCAACAGTTTGACATTTTGGGAAATACGCTTTTCACTTTCCTGCAATAAGATAGATGGGAAGGTTGTACCACTCTCATATCCGTCTGTTGAATATACTCAAGGGCTACTCCCCACAGTTGATTAGCTTAGCTTAGCTTAGCTTAGCTTACCTTGAAACTGGAAACAGCTATCCTGGTTTTGTCCAACAGTTACAAAACCCACCGACCAGCACCTATAATTATCACTAATTTACACTTCATATGCAATTTGTTGAAAGAAAACAATAACTGAGACTAAAAGCAACAGTATTTAGTTTTCCGGGGGTACTGTGCTGAAGTCTTATTGTCACTTTGAGTTATTCATAAAGTCAATGCTCCCGGTAAAGAAATAGTCCGGCACATAGCCACCTGTTATACCACAACTTGTAGTTATACACTTCACATTTCAAGATGTATGGATTAAACAAACAAGATATACAACGTTAATTAGCGAGCTTTAGAGGAGATGGTAGGCAAATTTCTATTCACAGAACTGGCCTAGCTGTTTCCCCTGCTTGTTTCTAGTCTTTGTGCTAAGCTAACCGGTTGCTGGCTGTAGCCTTATATTTAACAGGCATGAGAGTGGTATCAACCTTCCTCTAACTGTCAACAAAAAAGAAAATACATGTATTTCCCTATAATAAATAGTATTTCTTTAACGCAAATAATTCCATGCACATTTCTCAAACTACCAGCTCAGTCTTGCAATGTCTTTTCTCATTTGTTACATGCACACTGCGGTTTATTGAGGGGGATCTAATGCAATGCCTGCTCTCTTTTTCAGCTCTCACCCCCGGTGCTGTGAGGAGCTCTGCCTCGTGGACACAATTTAGGAGCATCGGCCCTCTTTTATCCCTTCCTTCTCCATAACCCCTTCCCTCCCTCACCTTTACCAATCCCAGCCACCCACAGCAGGGCTTCCCCGTAGATACCCCTTCCTCTTGCATAACACAGGAACACATAAGCATTCTGATCATATACCGTACAGGTTGTGATTTTATAAAGGAAGACAAGGGAGCAACGACGTACTGGAGAAATAACATAAAGGCAATAAACTGAGGACAATATGCAAACCAAAGGAATGATATTTTTGGAAAACTGATGATGTAAAGATTTATATTTTGTACATCAAACTTTTAATACGAGCTCAGAAAAACCCAAGGCACGAGGACAGACCTTTTGCACGCACAATCCAGTTTAGTTTTCTTTATTAACTCGACACACACGTCACGGTCTCATGATGATGTGCGAGGTGATGCCCACCATTTCTGAGGATGGGCGAAGTGGGACTGGTGGGGGCCCTTCCTCACCTGCCGGGGCAGGAGTCGGGGGCTCCGGAGGTGCAACGGCAGGAGGAGGCTGCAGTGGGAGGGAGGCAAGAAGCGGAGGAGACGAAGGAGGCAGCACGGGGAACCTGGAGTCGCTAATGGTCAACATGCTGACCGAGAGGGAGAGGCTCCTGGAGAACCTGAGGGAGACCCAGGACTGCCTGGGCACGGCTCAGCTCCGCCTCCGCGAGCTCGGCCACGAAAAAGAATCACTTCAGAGGCAGCTAACTATTGCTCTGCCGCAGGTACAACTGTGTGTATGTGTGTATTTACATCCTGTGCATTATGTGTACAGAGGAATCAGCCTTGTTTGGAAGTGAAAGTATGAGTTTTGGCTGATAGAAGTGTGTTAGGTTGAACACTCTTCCTTTTGAGAGGACATTGTTTATCCTCTGTGCTATCAGTGTCTGGTTATGTACGAGTGCTTTATTCTGAGTGTGTGTCATCGGGAAGCGAGCTCATGAGACAGTAAGCCTTTGCAGTGACGGTTCATGCAGAGAGATGCTAGAAAGTGGATGCTAAATACCTCCCCCCTGCTTCTTCAGAGGTTCCCTCACTAATGTTGTTCCTACTAATGCAGAGGGTTTATGTTCCTATCATCTTCTGGCTGTTTAGTCTAAGTTGTATCCGCAATTTATTCTCATTGTGTGGTCAGGTTTTATTATGTTAGTTGACCATGTTGTTGGTGCTCATATGTTAATGGGTTCAGTTTAATTTAAACGAGTACTTGATTTTCTACGAATTCTCTTTAGTTGTCTGGGTAAAAACTGCTTATTAATAATAACTGCAATTTGAAGATTTTATCCTACATTTCTAACACAAACAGCTTTCTCTTTTTTTTACATTTATTTCTCTTTTATTTCTCCAGCTTCTAAAATCTGTCAAATTTGTGTCGAATTTACCAAATACAGTCAGATTCCTTCTACACATGTTGTGCTTTTTGATAAATGGTGTCTGTGACTCGACTGATCCCATATGAATCTAATACCAGGAGATATTGCCATTGTCATTAGTTCAAGTCAGAAGGGTATTTTTAGATCTAATTTTGATGTTAAAACGTGAAAGGAGACAGAAAAGGGACTTGAGAATTTCAATTTCGTAATGAACATTGAGTCACCAGAGCTACTCTCATTATCATAACACTTCCACATGTTTGCTCATTATAAGAAGTAGATTCACTGTTATAAAAACACATGGAATCAAGTATAATACAATTTATATATATTCTCCATTTTCTCTTAAAATATTTAAGATGACAACAAAACAAGACCCAAACTAACATTTAATTATCACCTCTAGAGGTGAAACAAATGGTTAATTAATCAACAAGATGATTGACAGAAAAAAGGCAGCAACTACTAGCAATTTTTCACATTTGATAGACTAACTGTTAATCGTTTACTCAATCGATAATGAAAATAATCATTAGTTGCAGCCCTAAATACCTTTGTGATGCTTCTTCAACAAAGAGTTAAATGTTATAAACTCCATAATGTTAGTATTTGTTAAAGGGGTACGTACATTACTTAATTGCATTTGAATGTACAGGTGTTTATGATGATTGTGTACAAAACCTGTCAATCATTTTGCTGCTAACAGCAGTGAAAAGCATTTCAAAATTGTATTTCCTTATGTAACTCAAGTTTCCTTGTACACCATAGAGCAGACCTGCACATGAAATTAAATGAATGGAGGCTAATACAGATAGCGTGAGATGAAATAAAAAAGAAACAATGATGGGGACAAGAGAAGCCTACTGAGAAGCTGACCCCTATCCAAACAAGAAACAATCCCATAAGGCTGAGAGCCAATGGACCTACTGTGTAACCATCTGTATAGATCTCTTTCTGGCTATTTCTCTCTTCCATTCTCCATGCAAACACATATCAATTTCATATGTCTACTTTCAGCTGTTTATGAGTCAAAAGGCAGGTAATCCTGAATGTAAACATCTGCACATCATTGTCATTCTCATCAACAGCAATTGTCTCACACTTGAAGGCTTCGAAAGCGTTTTATGGAGACATAAAGAAATCACTGACCATGGATCAGTGTTTCATCAGTCAGTGTCTTATCAGTGTTGTTTAAGAGAATCGTGCACGACACCATCCTGTTTGCACTCCTTTCAAAGCGTTATGCAGGAGTTGCAAATGTATTCCCAGCGGTGTTGTCAATGATATATCGATGGCGTGTTTTTGGGGGGGTCTCTCTTGTGCACCAGTGCAGAGCCATTGTGTAACAGTGTGATGTAATCCATCCACGAATGCGAGTTCAAAGAGAAATATGAGAGAGAGAGAGAGAGAGAGAGAGTGGTGGTGGAAACGGTGTCAGTGATTTACATGATTGTTATGTAGGTTTGCATCATCTACATTTCCCTACATCCTGGTCTCAGGTGTTCAACACAGTGTGTTTCTGGAAGGCGTTTGGTTATGCATATAAGTGCAGCCAACTCCATTTAATTGTCACAGTCACTAGATTTGTATGGCCTGAATTATTATTTGTGCCTTTAAACTCTCATGGCTGCTCAAGCAACTGAGCAGGGACCACTTACATTTAACTATTAAAACCATATATTTAAACAGTTTGTTTTCTTTGCCCCTGAACGCAGCTTGTGTGTTCCACAGGAGTTTGCTGTGTTGACTAAAGACCTGAACGTTTGCCGGGAGCAGCTTCTGGAGAGGGAGGAGGAGATTGCTGAGCTCAAGGCGGAGAGAAACAACACACGTGTAAGATGTTTAGCGGCCATTTTGCTTATTAGCACTGTAACAGCCTCTGTGTTATCTTCCTCACCCATTGTGGTTGTGTGGGTGTGACACATTCATTTGCTTCTGGTCTTTTTTGCCCCTCTTTCTCTTACTCTTTCTACTCCACATTTTCTCTTTGTGACTCCTTTTTGTGTCCGTATCTGCTTTCCTTATCTCTCCCACTCACTCCTTGTCCCTTTTTGCAACCAGGTGCTCTCCTCACAATTTTATTATCTCATTGTCACTCTTACAACCCTTCACTCCTCGGCATCTTCTCTGAACCTTCCTTGTCCCTCTCGCTTCTCTTACCTTGTTCTCTCTGTTTCTGTCTCTTACTGTCTTGCTCTCCTCATCTTCTGTGTCTCCATTCTTCAAACTCCCTTTCTCTCTTTCTGTTCACCTCTTTGCATTCCCCTGCCACCTTGCTGTCTCCTTCCCCTTTAACCCACTCACTCCTGTAGTTGTTGCTGGAACACCTTGAGTGTCTGGTATCCCGCCATGAGCGCAGTCTGAGGATGACAGTGGTGAAAAGACAAGCCCAGTCCCCGGCGGGGGTCTCCAGTGAGGTGGAAGTCCTCAAGGCCCTCAAGTCTCTGTTTGAGCACCACAAGGCTCTGGATGAGAAGGTGGGTCAAACTGGTGTCCTCTGCATTGTGTATCAGGGCCTTATCAAACTGCTATGTGATATTTTGGAGAAAAAAGGAAATTTCTTTCAGTGAAGCAGCTGCAAAGGAAAGCCATAATATCTGATGAGATTCGGGCCACTTTGGTTGACCATCTAATGATAAGAGAGGCTGGGCAGAGAGTACAACCAAACTTCAGCAAGTTCACAGTAGGCCAGAAATCATTACAGTATTGTAGTATTGCATATCAATACAGCACACAATGATTACTGCAGTACAGTATTGCAAGTAGACAGTAAACAGAAATATGTATATTACATATATACGAAATATACACAAAAAAATGTCTGTGTGTCATTTGAACACCATACCATTTTGAGAACACAGCATTGTTTTGAATGCAGAGTTTCAGTCTGTGTGTGTTTGGATTTGTGTTTGGAGTGCTGAAAATATAAACCATGCTTTCAGAAAACGTGTGTAAAACAATTGAGAAAAACTGTAATAGTTGAAGAACCACATATTGCCTTCAGGACTCAGTAGAGACCAAAAAACAGAGCCAAAAGGAGACAGACTAGCCTTATTTACATTCATCGGGTGACCACAAACACAATGTAAAATTCATGCTAATGTTGCTCTGTATCTGCTGGATGTATAAATATTATCAATGTATAAAGAGATCTGTGTATCATACATCCATGGTAAATAGGCTGTTTGTTAACATGCTAGCCATATTAATTTTAAATTTGGTACAACATGTCAGTATTGTGTTGTTTCTTGTTTCTGCTGTACTCAAATGGTCAAAAAATATGTTATGGCAGATTTAAGAATGAAAGCTATTGAAGGGAAGGGAGGCACGAGAGAACCAGAACCAGGACTGTACAGGGCAGACTGTCAGACCCTGCAGCAGTAAAATAAATAGGACTCTGGTTGCCGAAAACGCTACCGCTTTTGTCCACAGTGATCACCAATACCAACACAAAATTAAAGTTCCTTGTAGTAGCTTTCAGTACAATTTTGACATACTTTTCTTACTTCCTTAATGCTACTTTATACTTCTACTCGATTACATTTTAGGTAATGTTGGAAATATTGTACTTTTTACTCTTTCATTCATTTATTTGACACTTACACTTTATTTTTTCATAAAGAACATTCCATGCTTTTATGACATAATGTCATACTATACTTATAATCCATCCAGTAGAATACAAAGTATTGACAATCAACTCCACATTCGCAAACTGCAAAATTAAAATGATCTTAAACACAGGCAGAGGTGAATACATTCTATCAGCCTCATTGACTGTCTCATCAGGATGATCACAACCAAAAGGTGGGATGAACTAAATTACAATGCAATGCACAGAAATACCTTATGTACCTTTTGTTAAGAAATGCTGTACTGATGTGAGTGTTTGGGCCTCTTATGAACTGTTTGATGACTCTATCGCCTTGTAATGTTTTCTTGCTCTTTCTATCGGGGAAGGATGGTCAAGAAACTGTAGTTACTTTCGGGAGTTGGAGGAGATCCGTTTAGTCAACACACATGCAGCTTGAATCGTAATTTCTAAACTAAATGATGGGCATGGTCATTGCTCTACTCCATAGGTTCGTGAGAGGCTCCGCGTGGCCCTCGAGAGGGTGTCCTTGTTAGAGGACCAACTTGCCGCATCATCTCAAGAGGTAAAGTTCAATGCAAATGATTTTCTGGGTCTCGAGGAATGCTCGGTGTGACGCAACAACACTCATTCGTATCATCTGTTTGTCCATTTTGTCTCTCATTTTCTAGGTAATGTCTTTAAGAGACCAAATTAAAAGACGTCAACAAGGGGCGGACGGCGGGAAAGATGTAAGGGAGGGTTTTATGCATGTTGGTTCCAGTTGTTTTTGTGTATGTGTGTTAGCGTCCAGAAAGTCAGCAGAAAAGTAGATGTATGGGTAACATGGTGTGTCAGTGTAATGTTAACTTTAAGAATGACCTATTCTACATGTCTTTTATTTCCGCTACAACATCAACTTGTTATCTTTCTTCATCACTCTCGTTTGTTTTTTATATTATCATCATTCCAGCGACTACCCAATGGTCCCTCCACTGGCCTGGAGGACAGCGAGTTGGAGAGACAGCGAGAAGGAGAGATTGAGAGGCAGAGAGCTGAACTCTCCCAGCTGAAGGAGAGGCTGGCCCTCATGTGCCGGCAGGTGAGTGTATATTTCTGTATATCTGTTTAGTGTTGACCAGTATGACATTTGTGCCAAGCGGGGAAATCTTCACTCAAAATACGTTTATAGCGGTGAAGTAAGGATTGATTGTTGCGGGAATAGTTATCATTTTGGCAACCACAACCTATATTACACTTTGGCTTTTGCGCAGAACCAGCTTTGCTATTTCCTGCTGTTTCCAGTCTTAATGCTAAGCTAAGCTAAACGGCTGCTGGCTGTAGCTTTATATTTACTACAGCCAGCAGCCGTTTAGCTTAGCTTAGCATTAAGACTGGACACAGCATGATAGCTAGCTAGCGATAACGATTCCTGTAACAATCAGCACACTTGACCGAAGTGTTATTGATTTTCTCATAAAAGTCTCGGCAAAGAAATAAATAAGCGCATTTACCAAAATGTCCAACTATTCCTTTAAGATTAGGGTTTGTTAGCACTGAGGACTAGATGTAGTCAGTGAAGGTCTAATACAAGTCTACGTGCTTGGTTAAGAGTGCATCTATTGTAACACTTGCTATTATTAAAAAAAATATTTTGTGTACTCCTTTTAGTAGTGTTAATCTATTGCACAAGTATTTCCAACAGTATATCCCAAGAAGGAGGGGAGCTATGTACAGTTTGTCTACTAGGCTCCTTCTTCCCTCTTGTGGCCAGTTAAACTATTGCATCTGCTTCAAATAGCCATCGTTTTACTGAATTGTGCACAATAAGACACCATTTGAATTTAGTTAATCAGTTTAATCACGTCCGACATGTGTAATGGGTCAAAAGTATTTAGGTCAAGATAACCAAACTGATAAAATGTTCGACTGTCTGGTCAGATGATGAAAGGATGTAATATAAAACTGAAAAGAAGCACATTGTGCCTCCATTTTACTGAGTGCTAGATGCATCAGACTCCCAACATGTTACACTTATGTCAGTGATGCTTTTTAAGAGTCTTACATTAACCAGACAGACATTTGCAATGAATCACTTGTCGTGTCTGTTTACACTTGGTGCTGTGGCAGTTAACACTGGCTCATGTAGGTTCAATCTGTGTCATCTTGTGTCCCTTTGTGGTGTCACGTCAGGTTGGGGAAATAGAGGAACAGCTTGCGGCCGCCAGGAGGGAGGTGACGAAGTCAGAGGAGGCCAATCAGAAGCTCCAAAGGGAAGTGAAAGAGGTCTGTAGGGCACCTCTGTCTCTTCCTAGCCAAGACCCTTAGCTCCCTCAATTCCTTGGGCTCCAAGTATATTTGAACACAATGGTCATATGTTATGAGCTTGATTTATTTTGTTCGTGGCGTAACTGCAGATACAGAAGTCTAAAATAACTGCAGACAACATTTTAAGCGGACCCCTACAGTATTTAAATGTATCACCTATGCAGGCCATCAACACATTCTAATGTTCTCCTCTTTCTCTTACCTGGCCATTATTTATCACATAAACAAGCAATAAGAACTGTTATCTCATCTATATAATGAAAGCCTAGATTGCACATCGTCTTGTTTCATGATACATCTTTGCTTCCTCTAGGCCCTTTGCCAAAGGGAGGACATGGAGGAGAGGATTACAACACTAGAACGCAGGTAACCTTTGCTGTGTTTAAGCAATCTATTCTTAGTTTTACTGAGGACTCACATTTCATACATCAGCTGTAATAAATATAGCAGAAGGACCATATGTTTCACCTGTTGCCTGGAAATGTGTTGCAAAGTTGTCCTGCCACCTCTTTATACAGTAAGGTTGTTTTACATAATAACATTTGCATTACATTCTTATTAAGAACGCAGCTGTGAGCGATAAGCAAAAAAGCTGACTTTGTGGCATACAGTTTGTTGGAAAGCAAGGATTTGACATCAGAAATTAATAGTTTGAATCACATTTTGTTCTTTTATTAACTGCTGCAAAATATAACAATAATAAATTGTTTTCCTGGAAATGCAGAGGAGCCAGCCCTGACTAGTGTGTGCCGGCAAGAACGGTAGAGCTGCTTCTATGTTGCCTGAAGGACAAAAAAAAAGTCTGCAATTCACATTAAGCTTAAATGCTGTGAGTGCAGTTATAATTGAAGGAAACCCAGATAAGCATTTTAGCATTTTGATTAACTCAGAGCTTCTCCCATCTGGATTTTGGCGATTTGACAGTAAGAAGACAGAAGTTTGGTGGTATTTTAGTGAATAAATCAATTCCCACCCTTACGTATAATCACATATATCTTTTTGTGTTGGCCAAGAACTGCAGCTCTAATAATTCAATGCTGTCTTGGTGTTGAATGCAGGTACCTCAGCGCCCAGAGGGAGGCGACTTCTCTCCATGATATCAAAGACAAGCTGGAAAATGAGCTGGCAAGCAAGGAATCACTGCACAGACAGGTAAGGAGTGGCTCAAATAATACATAAATAACATAAAAGTCAGCTCTTGCTGATGGACTTATATTGTAGTATTTAAAAATCCCAAAATGCATCTGATATGTGAGTGCCATCTGACCTCCAATCACACATACTGTGCATTTGTGTTTTGGTATGTGTGTCCAGAGTGAAGAGAAGAACAGACAGCTACAGGAACGGCTGGATGAAGCCAAGCAGAAGCTCCAGCAGACCCTACAGAGGGCAGAGACACTGCCCGAGATCGAGGCCCAGCTTGCCCAAAGGGTTGCTGCTCTCAACAAGGTATTTTGAGTCTGTGCAATCCCATTCTGTACCTTCCTGACCAGACAACCTGACATTTGTATTCAGTGCTGATAGTAACATTTAAAGATTGGGTTCATTTTACAGTCGCCTCAACACTGCATATATGCTGTCCTAGCCTTTATTGATCAAATAATCAGATCACCATGCTTTATTGAACAAAAATCCTAAAGCTTTCATTTAAATCAATTTTCAGTCCATTCATACATCAGATAAATACTTGTAAGATCATCTAGAAATGATGCTTCTTTTAATTTAGGCAGAGGAGCGCCATGGGAACTTTGAGGAGCGACTACGGCAAATGGAAGCTCAACTCGAAGAGAAGAACCAAGAGCTACAGAGGGTAACATCATTTATTTTTCTCTACGTGGCTACATTTCCCATGTTAAGCAATATTAGAGTTTGTTGTCTGCCTTTTTCCTAACTCAAGCTCCTCTCTTACGGCTGTTTCATTTTAGGCGAGGCAGAGGGAAAAGATGAATGACGAACACAACAAACGCCTCTCAGATACAGTGGACAAGCTTCTGTCAGAGTCCAATGAGAGACTGCAGCTCCACCTCAAAGAGAGAATGGCAGCACTAGAGGAGAAGGTAGCGAGGAGACTAATTAGTGCTGCAGAATATTTGTGATAGAATGAAAAATAAGAAAAAGTGGGTGAAAAAATTGCGTATTCATTCTTTTGCTCTGCTAGAATTCTCTTTCAGAAGAACTGTCCAATATGAAGAAAATCCAAGATGATCTTATAGCTAATAAGGTATGTACCCTTTCAGCTATGTTCTCATTGTAATCTCATGTACCTTTAATTCACCATCACAATTTTCCCAGTTCTTATGAGTTCCACTTATCCCTACGAACAAGAGACGTGGTGTTTTACAAATGATGTGTTCCTCGGAAAAAAGCAAGTTATGCCTTTTTTACCTCTGTGTTTTAGGAACAGCTCCTTGCTGAGCTGGAGCGAATCCAACTGGAGCTGGATCAGCTACGAGGCAGGCCTGGCTCTTATTCCAGGTTAGCCACACTGAACATTTAAGGGAATTTATTCATACATTATGTTCTACATTTTGTAAATTCCCAAATGACAAGTCTCCCAAGGGATACTTTATGTGCACAGCCCTTTCTGAGCACAAATATACTATACCTAGAGGGTATTTTTCTGGCTAATAAGAATGCAAATAACATGCATATGCTTTATTTATATTGATACAATTTCTTCATTTATTTTATTTCCAGGGAAAACCTGTCTGTGTGATAATGTCACGATTGTTCACTCAGGAAATGGGGACATTGTCATCTTCAAGTACTAACATCACAAATTCATTCTGGATCTCACCACAGGGCAGGCAGCGTGAGCTCACTTCCCTCCACCCTTTTTCGAAGATCTCTCCCAGGGAGCGCCTCGGAGCTGCGGTACCCTCAGGGTGGAGGCTCGCTCCCGTCCGGCTACAGCAACTCCTCTACTGGGGTGGTGGTCAGGCGAACACACCGAGGCCGGTGGGGGGCTTCTAGAGACGATAGCAACAAGGTGTCGATCTCACGCTGCAATAATAATGACGATGACGATGTCGATATGATTTGTTATTAGGATGATGATTTCCTACTTTTTCCCCTCTTTCCAGTATGGAGAATGGGACAGCGGTAGTATGCTTGGTCCCGGTTTTGAGGGTGGGGATGGAGGCTGCTCTGACGATGAGGACGACAGAGAGACTATGTTCGGATCGGAGCTGCTCTCTCCCAGTGGACAGACAGATGTACAGACTTTGGCCATCATGCTACAGGAGCAACTGGAGGCCATCAACAAGGAGATTAAGTGAGTTTTAGATCTATTAAAGCCATTCGGGCAACCAATATTTTAGCCTACACTTAAAATGATGTTGAGTGAGGCTTTCCGACAGAATAAAGATAGTAAATCTTGATATTTAAAAATATTTTAACCTTTTCTCTCAGGCTGATTCAAGAGGAAAAGGAAAGCACCGAACTGAGGGCAGAAGAGATTGAGAGCCGGGTCAGCAGTGTGGCCCTCGATGCCCCATCTCTTCCCCCCTCCTCTCTGGGAGGACGTGACAGCGTCGGCAGGGGATACATGACTCCCTCCATCACCTCCTCTACATTGGCGTCTCCCTCACCGCCCAGCTCTGGACATTCCACCCCCCGCCTGCCACATTCCCCTGCCAGGGAGACTGACAGACAGGTACTGTGTTGAAGTTGTGATACAGTATAAGCCTCATATGTGCTTCTTCAACTGAGGATAATTTAAAGAAGACCCTGTGTGTTAATTCACACAACTCTTTCCGCCCTGCAGAACAGCAAAGATGGTGAAGAATGCAGAGCACTTGCCCTGATTGACTCCAACCCTTCTGTTCCTCGAGCCCTACGATTGGACCGTATGACACACACTCACCCGGGAGCAGGACTCGATGACCTCCGTGAATTTCGCAGGTACTCTCAAGAAGGTTTACTCATACTTTGTTTATTTGGCTAACAAACTAGCCCTCAGACACGCTCTGTCTGTGTTGATTTCACCTCCTGTTTTTCCTTTATCTGTTCTTTTAGTCTCTCTGTTGACGGTTCTACCACTGCTAGCCAGGATTCCCTCCACAAAGCCAGCAAAAAGAAAAGCATTAAGTCGTCTATTGGTCGTCTTTTTGGCAAAAAGGAAAAGGGGAGGATCGGTGCGCATGGGCGCGAGTCTTCCTCACTGGGTTTGTGAACAGATTGAAAACGACTCATTCACATCGCCATTTTGTGTCTCCAACTGACAAATATATCTGTTTACAGCAAAATTGTCATCAACAGTGAGGTGGATTCATTAAATAATTATTATGTTTAACCTTCGACCCTTCCAGCCTCCACACCTTCTGACGACCTCGGTTCAGCTGACCCATTAGGCCTGGCTAAACTTGGGACTGGAACAGTGGAGAAAGACCGCCGCAGCAAAAAGAAGTGAGAACAGTCATTGTTCCACACGCTTCTCATGACATTCACAGATCTTTGAACCCTCGTGTAGTCAGGTGCCGCTTGTAGAGCATGGCACTAACTAGGCCTGGCCTGGAGCTATGATATCCCTGGTGCCAGTCATTTCAAAAAGATATGCCCTTGTGGTGCTGCAAGGCACAAATATTATGGTATTTGAAATTTTAAGTTCAATGGGATTTTCTATTTATAAAGGAGACAATGTTAAAGTGATATATGAAGACATTTACCTTTGCAAAACTTCTGTTTTCCACTCTCCTTGCAAGACATGACCTGTTAGAGGAAGCGTGTCGTCAGGGTCTGCCTTTCGCCTCATGGGATGGTCCGACTGTCGTTACGTGGCTTGAGGTACGTCATGGCACCCTGTCACCGATGAGTTTATATAGACATCCAGCATCTTCCCAAGGTTAATCTAAGGGGTAGGGGTTAATTTTAGTAATGGTGTCAGGCTAGGGTTAGGGTTACATAATCTGTATGCAACAAATACAAAAGTTACTCTTAAACATTTGGTTTTTGGCCTCATGCATGTTTATTTTGAGTGTTGCCGTTCACATCTTCTCTCTGTTCATCCAGTTGTGGGTAGGGATGCCTGCATGGTATGTAGCAGCATGTCGTGCCAACGTGAAGAGCGGCGCCATCATGGCTAACCTGTCGGATACAGAGATCCAGCGGGAGATCGGCATCAGCAACCCTCTACACCGGCTCAAACTCCGTCTGGCCATCCAGGAAATGGTCTCCCTCACGAGTCCATCTGCACCTGCAAGCACTCGCTCTGTAAGACTAAAAAAAAAGAAGCATGATGTGATTGTAGATCAGCTCATAAATCATGTGCTCACACAGATGAGACATTAGCAAATTCACTTACCCATGTCAAGCAAGAAGACTGATGTTATATTTGTTTACTATTCATTACAGTCGACCAGTAACATTTGGATGACACATGCCGAGATGGAGTCTCTCACTGCTGCCACCAAGCCAGTAAGAATATTACATTTAATATCAAATCTCAAAAGAGAATTCAATATTTTATGATATTGATTTAATCTGTTTATCGGTGTTGCACTTAATAACTGTTCTGATACAAACACATTATTTTTATTATTTTCTGTTTTTAGGCATGAAAGAATATTCAGTGTTTATGTTTTGGCATAATTCTCAGCAATTTGACCTCACATTGATAAGCTTTTTGTTCTTCTTCTTTGTCTCTGATTAGGCATGTTTGGCTACACCTTTCCCTTACTATTCCCTCAAAATCTGTTTTGATGTAGTGTTTTTCCAACTAATTCTCACACACTAACAAAACTTTTCTTCCCTCTGCCTTCCCTTTTTTCTTTTCCGTTCTGTCTTGACTCTGATTCACCGTAACACACACACACACACACAAACAAAAACACACTACCCCTTGGTGATCTTTCCTCCCCTTTGCAACTCTCTATCCCTTTTCTCTTCCATTTCTTCTCTTCCTGAAACACAAGGAGCAGAAGGAGTTCAGCTGGGACCAGGTGAGTTTTTATTTTACAAATACTGAACTAGTCTTGTATTAGGTCAAGAGGAACATATTATAACACTTTGGGATCTGAATAAATATGAAAACTATCCACAAACGTAAATTATTGAGTAACGAACACTAATAATGCCAAACACAACCCCAAATGTGATCTGTCAGATAGTATGCCTCAGTAATCTATGATTCTCTTACACTGATGGAAACTGGTTACCTGATATGAGACAGAATTTTCTAAATGGACCCTGGCAAGCAATCTGGCAAATTGCGTGAACTCCATTGTTCCTCATCCTCTCAGCCGGTTTCCAGTCGGTTGAAGGTAAATCTGTCCCTCATCAAATGTCTAAAATGAAAACCAGAAGGGTCTGGGACCAGCACAGAGAACAACTGAGCTAATATTACCAAAATTGAAATTATTAAGGCTTGTCCTCAGCAGTGACTTTGTGCCTGAATCTGAGTATTAAATTGGAAATACTCACCCAAAAGTTGCTCATGCTTTATAGCAACTTTAGGGTTGTCAGTCTGTAGAAAAATTGTCCTCTTTTTAGATCCTGCTTTAATGCACCTGGAAGTCCCTCAAATTGCCTGTACGTAAGTGGTCGATGTTACTAAGTTCTTAATGAATGTATTTCTGGTCCCGATACCCTGTAGCCCTTTTTGAGTAGGTAAGTGGTTAAACAGTCCATTACTGGCTGGGTGTTCAAACCCTTTAAAACACTATAAACCTTTTGAAAAGAGTGCCTTGCTAGAAAGTGGTACCAATCTGTCATAACACATCCTTCTAACATACAGTATATAAATAATGAATATCCCTAAAAACGTACCAGCAGAGATCTTTATATTTACCCTTTTAGCTTATAGTTCAATTTTTGCATTATTGCTTTCTAGCGAGCACTGTATACACACAACTGTAGTGTATCTAGAATGCACAGTAAGGAGAGACAGCTGAGGACAAAGGGACTTTGTGTTTTATTGAATATACTCACCCACACCTCACCTCTGTGCTCCAGATCCTGGCCTATGGGGACATGAACCACGAGTGGGTGGGAAACGAATGGCTGCCCAGCCTGGGTCTGCCCCAGTACCGCTCCTACTTCATGGAGTCACTGGTGGACGCCCGTATGCTTGATCACCTCACCAAGAAAGAACTGAGGGGCCAGCTGAAGATGGTGGACAGTTTCCACAGGTCTGAAAGTCAGACGTTTACACAAATGATCTCTCTACTTCTTCTTTGTACCCTCTTCTTCGGTGTATATATATATCTGCCAGCTTGGATGAAAATTAGAGCAATGTGTCCATCTCACTTACAGGGTGAGTCTTCATTATGGTATCATGTGCTTGAAGCGCTTGAACTATGACAGGAAGGAGCTGGAGAGGAGGAGGGATGAGAGTCAACACCATAACCAAGGTGAGGCCTCTTGTCTTTAATACTCAAATCTTCTCTTCGTGACATGATATCCAAGCAAACATTTACTCATGCTTTTTGGTCTTTAGTGCCCTGGTGATGAGTGCATCTTGTGTCCTTCATCACAGATGTAATGGTGTGGTCCAATGAGCGAGTGATGTGTTGGGTGCAGTCTATTGGTCTGAAAGAGTTTGCTGACAACCTATTAGAAAGCGGGGTGCACGGGGCTCTCCTGGCGCTAGATGACACCTTTGACTACACTGACTTGGCCCTCCTCCTCCAGATACCCAACCCAAACATACAGGTACTCCACAGCACATCACCATTATTCTCAACTTATAGACACAGAGCAGTGATCCCACAACTGTTGTCAGAAATTGTCATTGCCACACCTTCTGTTTGCCTAATGGCAAGCTAATCCTAATCTTTAACTCTTAAATGATGTTAATTATGATCTTAAAGCTCTGTTTGTCTCTCCTCTGCAGGCGAGGCAGCTCCTAGAGAAGGAGTACAATGCTCTCATCACCATGGGAACAGACAGGAGGCCAGATGAGGTATGACAAAGCAGACTGTCAGTCGAAAATCACTCGAGATAATCACTCCTGCCAGGAGGCGGGAACGTGTGATGATTGTAACCACCGTGGCTAAGACTTTTTTACTCCACAATAGAGCCTTTGATCCAAACTTTCCTATTTTGGCCCTTTGTTAAATATGTGTCATGACAGGTGAATTTCCTTTCAATGGTACAATAGCAGACTTAAATATCTGTCTTTCTTATAAAGAGAGCCATGGCATCACTGCATGTACCACTGCTGTTAGATTGTTGGCATGCCAAAGTGGTTCAGCTGTGTTTACGCCACGGCTAATTGCTTAGTAACAGCTGGTAGGATTAAAAACTTTGCAACTGTGGTATATTGTTACAACAACACTTGCTTTGTCAAATACTAGTTTGTGTTGACACCGCTAATGCATAATGAATATGACCATGAAATAGATATCCTCCACTGAGGATGCTGTTTTTTTTAATCACTGGTGTTTTTTTTGTCTCCACAGGATGGCACGAAAACCTTTACACGGTCACCATCATGGAGGAAGATGTTCAGAGAGAAGGACCTCCGCGGCGTGACTTCTGACTCCTCAGAAACATTACCTGCCAACTTCCGTGCCTCCGCCATCTCAACCCCCTCCGTCACTCTGAGAAAAGTCCAGAGTGAAGGTGAGGAGATGCAGCTCACGGCGTCTAAAATGAACAAGACGGACGCACTCCCAGGATCAGGCATTAAACAGTGGTTTCTTCCTGTTTGAAGAAAATGCATTATAAAATGTTAAACTACTCACAATATATACTAACAAACCAAGTCAATCAAAACCACAGTTTTCCAGTGTTTGTTTTATGCGATGAAGTTTGAACTACTGCACTGATTTAGGTCTGCTTGTCTCATAGTTCCACAGTGAGTTTTATTTACTAATTACCTCTTTTCTCTGTCAGTAGGTCCGAGAGGAGAGTCGGGGTCCGTGAGAACATATTCTTGTTAAAAGATAAGCACACCAGGTGAGAAAAAGCACCCTCACTGATGAGTGTATCTGTAGCTAAATATAGCTCATGTGAACACCAAATCAAACATCTCATCTCTGCAGGAGCTTTCATGGTTCTTGTGTGTTTTATTCCATTTTGTAGAGCCCCACCTCTATCCTAATCCATGGGGGAAAAGAAACACATTTTTTGGAGAAAAAGCCCGAAGGATCAAAATAAAAAATGGACACTAGAAGATGATCAACACCATTTGAGTGAGATTCCTCAAAGAATCAAAGACACTGAGTAAATGATTTCTTAAAAAATTATAAAATAATGAGTGAATGTTTGTTAATCCATCTCTCTCTCTCTCTCTCTCTCTCTCTCTCTCTCTCTGTCTCTCTGTCTCTCACCCCATCTTGATCCATAGTTGTGGCATGATGCTGTTTGACTCTGTAGAAAGTGGCCTGTAGAAAGTGACCATCACCTATTGTGAATACATCTTCTGTTTTTGAGTGTGAGATGGCAATATTGACACAATGAATTTATAGTTTTTAAAATGTAAAACTGCATTCCTGTTGAGATCGAGAGAAAGATACCCCGTCACACATCATTTCAGGTGACCTTACTATGATTTAGACTGATAATAGAACATACTCTGGCTAGTAAAAAATACACAATACATTAGAGTTTGGGGAAAGTGTGGTTCAAAGGGAGAATATGACTGTACACAGGGGGAATTACATGTATGTTCTTAAGCCATAACAGACATGAGATGCACAAATGTGAATAGGACGGACAATGAGACAATTAGCAAAGTGCTTTATGACAAAATCCTGTTTAAAGTGGAGAAAAAAAAGAATTAAGCATTTGTGTTAATATGCATGCTGAAATCAACCATTTTAGAGTGAACATCATGATATCAATCATCTAATGATGTGAAAGCTTGGGTCAGGACTTTGTAATATGTGTGTATTTTATTTTTATCATTTTTTATTGATAACTGCTATTGTATGTATGTATGTACAGTATGTATGTGTGTGTGTATTAAACTGTATGTTCATTTCATACTTAGTTTTAAGACTGACTGTAATTTCATTTTAGGTTGAAAAAGGAAATATGTTTTAAATTATGGACATTAAAGATATGCTACTTGTATGTGTACATTTTGAAAAAAAGTGTTATGATTTAAATTCCTATTATTGGAGAGTAGTGATGATAATTGAATATAATATGGTAATAATGATAATGATTGTAAAAGCTGTAATTAAAAAACATACCTGTAAAACGCTAACTGAAGGAGTTATTTGCAGTTCCAGCTCACAATGATGAAGAGAAGTGGGTGTGATGGTATAAAGGTATCAGTCATCTTTCAGAGTATGAACCGTTGAAATGCAGATGCTCGTAGAACTGACATCTTCAGCTTGATTACGTCAGAGTTAAACTGCAGCAAGGGAGTCATTTACAGGACACATGTCGTCGTCCGCCCCCCCC